TACATTAATTTCTGCATTTGGTTAATATCTGTCTCCCATACTAGAGCACACATTCCAGGTGGACTTTATTTTTGCACATGATCCTATTCCCAGAATATAACACAGTGCCCAGTACATATGTATTTAGTACATATTTGTTGAATTAATAAAACTTTAAACTTTAAACCAATCATTAGAAAATAGTATTTTATGAAATGCAATTCCTTTCCTTCCTACCAATATGAAGGTGAGAATTGTTCCTCAAGCAGAGTTAGTGATTGAAGTTTAACATTCACCCTGAGATTGCCTGGTTATTGTCTTTAGTTCTGGTTCTTTAGTGTTTTCTTCCACATTTAAATAAATTTCTTGAACACATCTAACATTTCTAGTGCAATGACTCCTGTATCTGTTGCCTCTCATTAATGCTAATCAAAATATACTTCAATTCTTTGTTGGAAAATATTAAATATTTGATGTGCACAACTCAGAATGGAGATGGAGGTTTGGGGGATGTGAATGAGAGTGAAGGAATGGAAGAGTTTATCTCAGAACTCAAAACTCCAAGCATTCCTGTTTTTCTACTAGCTATGAATGAGTTTAAAACCTGAATCTTTTTCCTCATTTGCAAAAAAAGGCCTGGTATTAAAAATACCTTTAATACAAACTTGTAATGAGGATTTATATACAGAAATGTTCCTAAAATCACTGTTTAAACCATAACATTTTAAAAAACCATGTACTTAACTATTGCAATATGACTGGGGTTTGAATGAATCCTAAAATAGCAATGGAAGTGTGGAGGAGATACTTTTTATGTCAGTGACTTACAATTTGTGGGTAACTATGTTTTACAGTGCATTTCTATCTTATTCTTCAACTTTTTTTGTACCAGAGATTTAACACAGGGGTGCTTAACCACTGAGCCACATCCCCAGCCCTTTTATTTATTTATTTGTTTGTTTGTTTATTTGTTTATTTATTTATTTTTGAGATACGGTTTTGCTAAGTTGCTTAGGTACTTGTTAAGTGGCTAAGGCTGGCTTCAAATTTATGATCCTTCTGCCTCAGCCTCCCAAGTCACAGGGATTATAGGCATGCACCACCACACCAGACCTGAACTTTTTGAAATGAAACTTGGAGTGGCTGCAGCAAAGACATACTTTACAGAAAAAAGGAGGGAAGAGCATTTTTTATATCATATATTTAATCAGTCTATTTAGAGTCTGTACGTCTATAATGGTTCAAATTCTTGGAAATCACAATTTCCCTCATTATTTCTCACTCTCCTAATGACCTGAGACAGTAACAAGGTGGGTGGTTGCTAGGTGCCTCCTGGCTTCCTGAAGGCTAGTTTTTACGTCATCGGATTGTGGTGTATTACTCCCACGTGTATGCGTAGGGATTATGAGGTCTCACACCATTCCAGTATATAAAGCTCAATGGAATTGCGTATCCCAGTCGCACCAGGTAGTGAGAGGCACCTACCGTTCTGGCCCGTGGTTTCCACCGGCCAGGTGGCTACCGGCCCCCTGATTCCCAACTGCCAGCTGAGTGCATCTGTCCTGAGAAAAGAGAAGTGGACAAGGAAGAACCATGAGCACGTTTTTCCTTCTACTGAGCTGCGTTACTTTCGCCTTTTTGATTGTCTTATGGAAAAAACGACATCAGGTAAAGGTGTATGTATGTAAGAGATTGGACTTAGATGAAGCTAGGTGAATACGTGGATCAGGGAGTATGTTTGCAAAACTCTAGAAAGATAATAAAATAAGAATTAAGGGGAGATGTCATCATTCCTCTTTTCTGTCCACAAAGCTCCAGACTTTTATTTCTTCCTGATCCTCATCCTCCGCAATTCCCGCATTTTGGTCAGTGATTCGCCTCGTGGACTGATATAAAATAGCTCCAAATCATTAAGTGATATAGTTACCTTTCTACCCACTTGGAAAGAAATGTGTAGTTAAAAGTTCCCATTCCCCACCACCATGACCCATTTTAAGAATCTGTAACTACTTCTTTTTCTTCTCTTATTTCTACAACCCCCGTGTTCCTATTTGCTTCTCCTGCCATCGTTGTGGGAGCTCTCTGGACATTTACCAGTATTTCATGTTTAAATATGGACTTCCTGGTTTCAAGTTGCAAATGAAGTACTTTTAGATAAGGGTCAAAGACAGCATCTACATGTAGACCCACTGGACTGCCCAAGAAGTGTAAGCAAAAGCATATAGCACTTTGGAGCAACAAGGCTACTTTGATATTTTTTTTTCTCAGTCTGTCTGGGCAGAACATATTTTGAATCAATGTGGTCATTCAACACATTTTTAATCTCTCTTAGGGGAGGTCAGTTAATTTTTGTAACTAAGTTGTTATTTGGTAGTATTTGGAAATTACTACAATCAATAAACTACATATGTATAATTTCCTTTACAGAGAAACACTGGTGAAACATCATCAAATTCGACTTCACTTGCACTAGTAAGAACTTCTCCTTCTTGGTCACCTAGGAGCAATACTGATAGTCTTTCAGTCAACAACCTCTCTCGGGATATCTTAAATAATTTCCCACACTCAATAGCAATACAGAAGCGAATATTGGTAAACCTCAGGATCGTGGAATACAAGCTGGCTGAATTGGAACATTTCCTAATTATCAAGGGCATAACTGGTGCATTACTTAAGCAGGAATCCACTGAAAAGGTTACAAGATGTAATGACAGTGGAAGCAATCATTAAAGACACTTTGAGTGAATTCATTTGATTATGTGTTTATACCAAATGAATTATTATTTAAAAGGGAAGGGGATATCAAGTCAGATACAAAATCCAAACATTTATTGATTTTCTTACTCATATTTTATTTAAAGAATTGATTACATGTACTTGCTAAAATATATTTTACTGGGGAAGGAATGGAAGAACAATACAGTAAGAAAATCAGTCCAAAAGTTTTTTTTTTTTTTTTTTTTTTTTACAATAAGCTACATTCAAAAAATAGTTGAGACATAGTGATTATAATTTCATTCAAGAGTGAAAAACAGTTTTCTCTAGTGGTTTACAGCATAATACTGCAATTATCTCCATGCTTGAATTAAAGTAAGTAGAATTTGATGGAACTAGTTTCTATTATTCAGAATACTGTTTCTTGACACTGTTGAATCTGTGTAATAATAATAAGAGCTATCATTGGGCACCCTGCAATATGCCAAGAACTTCATTAAGATCTTGTGAAGATAGTGACAAACACTTAACTAGTCTTTGTGGTCAACTTTTGAAAAGGATTGCTTCCACTTCATATATCCCCTCTCCCATTAGATATTCTTTTATTTAAAATGTGCCAAAATCTTCCCTGAATTGCAAGTCACCTATAGAAAATGCCATGCATTTTTCTCTTTGGTGAAAAATCTGCACCTCAAATAGCACCAAATTATAGTGGTAGCATGCAAGTAATGTAATGTGGATTAAAAATATGAAAAAGTATTTCTAAGCACTACTCAGTTATCTCTTTCAAATAATATTTTACAAAATCTGGTCTAGCTAAGGAATTAATCTCTTGAAGTTTTCTAACATCATCTAACCTACCTCAAAGAAAACCCTCAAGATATCAAATGTGAGTTCATTATCCATATGTACATAATTCACTGATATTATTTAAACATAATTCATTTATATGGTTCAATTTCAGGCCTGTTTACCTTGATGCCCCCTTCCCTCAAAATAAATTATCAGTATAAATTAAAGAAATGCCTTAATACCTTATTCCTTTATCTTAAATTGAAAGGAAAAGGGATTTAAAATGTATAAGAAAAACTATTCCTAAAAAAAGAAAAGGAAAAAATTCCTTCTAGTGTCAGTCACTTGCCAAGCATAAAAACCAGCAGCAGCATTTGTGATTCTTAAAATTTTTTGATTCCTAAGTCATTTTGGTACTCTGATGAAAACTACGGACTCTCTCCCTACAAAAAAAATGCATGTCTACATCACACAGATGATGTTACATATAATTTCAGTGCCATAATTCCCTCAAGCCTGTTAAAAAGAATCTTAAAAATTGCTGAGAAATTCCTTGTATAGTTAGGCAGTGTTGATTGTCCTAGGCTATGATGTTTAAACCAATTCTCAATGAAATACAATCAAAATATAAAGCTGTTAGTTATCTATTTCATTAACAATAGTAAGGAAACAAGGATTTAGAATCTTCCTTTTGGACAAGTTTATCTCTTATTAATATGTAAATATGTAATTATCACCCATAATCACTAACTTATTCACATAAGACTAGCCATATATCATGATTATTAAATGCAAATTTTGAGTAAAACCATTTTCTCATTAATATTTTGATCCATATTGTATGTGAAATTAAACCAATATTCAGAGAATATAATGAACTCTTAATGTTGCTAGACAATAGAAATTAGATGTGTCATAGTTTTCTTCCAAATACAACCTAAAGAAGGAAGACAGAATATAAGGAAACCTGTATTCCACTTTCTATATTTATCCCTTACTGGCCAAAGGATTCTTATTTCTCCTGTCCTGTCAATAAGTTCACATAGAAAACATGAACCATAAATGCATGAAGTTTTTAGACATATTTGGATCAAAAGCACTAAACTATAATCTTTATATAATATGAATAGTCATTTTTCAACATATTTATGATGTTTCTAAGTGAGGCCCTTAGTTTGTAAGACATCCTTTTAAATACACTGATATTCCCCCAACTTGTGAAAAAGAAAGGTTGTATGTTAAGAAAATAGAAGAAATAATAATTTTCAAGTTACATAACAGAAACAGCTCAAAATAAAGCATTCAATGTATTAGAAAAACATTATGGTAATATTTTTTAAATTTCACTGTAAAATAATTGTGTGCATATTATACAGATAGCTAATCTTAAAAGAAATATAAGCACATTGTTAAACATTAATAGATTCACATTTTATATTACATTCCTGCTTAAGGGTGAAAAATACTTATTACCCTATTGTGAACATAGCATATATATTTTTCTACTCAGCTAACATACAAATAAATAAAAATTACCCCTACTCTAAAATCACATTATACAACAACCATTTTTAAAAATGAGGTCTCATTCTGGTTTTCTGCTGTCACTAATAGTAGGTATTTCATGGTCAATCTCTTTCTTAGGCTCTACCATGTTTTTATATCTCTCCCCACGATGTTGTTCCAGGTATGGACCCCAGTTAGGAGCTGATTTGCAGCAGCTTACAATGCGCTGAAATGAGAAAAACAAAAAATTCCTGTCTTAGAATATAAGTGTTATAATCTGCAAACAAATATTAAACTATAACTTAATTCTAACATTTTGTTTCTTTGCTAACAAGCAAATATTTTACTATGCTTTAATTTTGACCATATTAAAGTTGCCTGCAAAAATTAAAAAATGAAAAGACAGATTAGACTTTATTGCATATATGATTAACTATTTGATCCCATTCCAAAGAAGTAATTTATCAAATAAACTAAAATTAAAATACAATTAAGAACTAAGATAATCAAGTAACAAGCCAGAAGATAAAAAATGAAATAAGAATCATAGAAAAGTTGAAAAGTGAATCTAAATTCTTAATAATGCAGTCTACTAAGAAGAAATTAAATAAATTGTTATTACCTACTTGTACTGAATATTAAACTATATTTTCATTTATAATTTTTAAGTTTCTATGCTAACAATAATTAAATAGCAAATTAAAGAGTTAAATAATCAATAATGCAGTCTAAGAAGAAATTACAATCAAATAAATTATTACCTAAGTGTTAATAGAATCATACTAACAATCAAACTAATCAAATATGTAAATGACTTCAGAAGGCATGTGAGCTCATTAGAGTAACAGGTTCACTTACAGTTACCTTCACTGAATTTACATGATTTCCATCTGGCTTTGAGGTGAGGGTGAGATGAGGATCTAAACTAGTGTATAGTTGCATGTGGTTTAAGAACGAAGGAAAGGAAGTTCCAATGTCAAAATATTTATTTGGATCCTTCTAGTAAGAGGATTTACTTAATTTAAGGCTCCTTGTCATTATTCTAGTAAAAATTCATAATCAAATCTACCTGCTAAGCCTCCATGGAGAAAGGATGATCCAAGGTCTACATAGGGTTTGAGATAATTTACCAAGCCTATTGCAGTCTAAAAACACACACACACACACACACACACACACACACACTACTAGTACTTGTGTTATAACCAGATGAGGCTTTAAAAGTAAAGATTATGGGGCTGGGTTGTGGCTCAGTGGTAAAGAGCTCACCTAGCATGTGCGAGGCCCTGGGTTCAATCCTCAGCAACACATAAAAATAAATAAAATAAAGGGAAAAAAAGTAAAGATTATGTATATAAAAAGCAAATGACTTTCTACAATGTACTGAGTTATCCCAAAGATATCACAAGTCATTTGCTTTTTATATTTATCTTAACTGGTGTATGTAAGTACTGTAATAGGTCTTGATGATCCACTAACAAGACAGACAAGACTTCTCACAAGGCGCTTATAGTCTAATACAGGGAGACAATGTAATGTACTAGTAACAGATGATTATATCAAGTATAGAAGTAGTAAGAAGAAAGAGTTATTACTTAATTGCATATAATCTCATATTACTGCCATATAAAGTAAATTAATGTTCATTTTTCTGACAAATAATTTATATAAAGTATTTTACAATTTAATATGCTTACTTGAAAGATGTTTCCTTCAGCCTGAACTATTTTTATGATAGCAACAATTGGAATCCAAATAATGCAGAAAATAATCATACACCAGCCCAGAGCAACTCCCCAGTCAGGGTATGAAATTTCACCATATGTGGGTCTCTGAAATTTCACCAGTGACCATATTAAAATTGCCTGCAAAAAGAAAAAAAATGAAAAGACAATGCTATAGATTAGACTTTATTGCATATATGATTAACCATTTGATCCCATTCCAAAGAAGTAATTTATCAAATAAACTAAAATTAAAATACCATTAAGAACTAAGATAATCAGGTAACAAGCCAGAAGGTAATAATATGAAATGAATAAAATTTCTATTTTTACTTTGAATAAATTCTTCCAAAATTTAATACCACCATAAAAGATATAAATACTTGTTCCACATATACTTTGGTAAAATACTTGACTAGGACTGAAAGTAAAATAAATTTGAAATTTTTTATTGAGCTTTTAACTCTACTAATTTAAATATTTTTATATTTTTATTTTTAATTGATTCATAAAACATTTAAGTATACATATTAATTGAGTTATGTTTTGATACATAATGTTTAAATCAGGTTAAACTTATTTGTCTCTTCAGACATTATTTCTTTATTGTTAAAACTTTGAAAATCCTTTCTTCTAGCCCTTTGAAACATAAAGTATACTATTATTATCTAAATTCACTCTTCTGTGCAATGGCATACCAGAACTTCTTGTTTCTATCTAACCATAACTCAGTACCACTGATCAATATTTAATAATACTGCTCCACTACACACACTTTTCCTGGTCTCACTGTTCTAGTTTTCAATATCCACGAGATCATATTTTTTAGATTCCATGTGTGAGTAACATCATGTGATACTTGTCTTTTTGTTCCCAGCTTATTTCACTTAACATTATCTTCAGTTCTATCCACATTGTTGCAAATGATAAGATTTCATTCTTTTTATGGCTAAATAGAATTCCACTGTATATATGCACCACATTTTCTTTATCCATTAATCAGTTAATGTATACTTAAACTGTTTCCATTTCTTGAGTATTGTGAATAGTTCTGCAATGAATATAGGAGTGCAGATGTCTCTTTGACCTACTGATTTTGTTTCCATTAGATATATACACCAAGGAGCAGGACTGTTGGCAAGGATGTGGAGAAAAGGAAACCCATGAGCCCCATTGATAGAAATGTAAATTAGTACAGTCATTATGGAAAAGACTATAGTGGTTCCTCATAAAATTAAAACTAGAACCACCATTTGATGCAGCAATCTCACTACTGGGTATATATCCAAAATGAAATTATAATTCATTTATAATAACATAGTTTTATTCTATGCTATAGCTTGCCAGCATATATTTTAATTCAATGAGAATGTAAAAGTAGACATTAGTGGACATGCTTCTCTTCTTGCTTAGCAATTGCTTCTGTTATTTTTAACTGCAGAGAGCACCCCTTCACCTCAAAACATGGATTTGCACAAACACTACGGGTACATACTTATGAAAGCACACTTCACTTCCAGCCTCTTTCTGGGAAAAAAAATCAAGTTTAGTTAATATGGCAAAAATCTGAATCATAAAGATTCCATCACTTTAAGGCCCAGTTTTAGAATGTTTTTTTTTTTAAAAAAAACCTACTAGAAACGTTGAGGTATCAAAATTATTTATAGAAATCTGTAAAGCAAAATGAAACCCAAAAATTGCCTACTAATTTTCCTAAATTTAGCTGACTTTGTTTTACTAGAAACAATAAGAAAGCAATAGATTATAGACATTTTTATAAATAGATATGCAAGTATAATTATAGAATTGAGTGGGTATATTCCATTAATTTAATTACAGTACTTCAATATATTTCACAGTTATCATAATTGTATATAATTACAAGAGGATGAATGAAGGACATTGGAGTCTAATACACAAGACTTTATATAAAATAGATGGCAATGTGTATCATTTGATATTTAATATTTTAGCATTTTAAAGTAAATTCAAAAGTTAGACCTGTGTAATCAATGAAAATTAGCTGGTTAGTAGTCCAGTTGGATATCATAAATTGATAGGGGGCTTATTATGTTATAGAGATTTTGAAATAACAGGAGTGATATTTAGTGGCACTTTCAGTCATTCAGCAAGAATATGAAACATATAAATATTTTAATTCATCACATTCAGTCCCAAACTATTTACTATGTAAACTAATCAATTCATGTTTAAAAAATAAAAACACCCACTAAAACAATCAAATATGATATTTCAGATATTAAGCAAATATCTATCAAATTATTTAATGGTCTTTTCTAGGGAAACCTTGGAAAGATGAAGGCAATGAAAACTAAAACACATCTGTGAAGCTTTGCCATCAACCCAAATCTCACCATTACCTCTAGTGCATGGCATTTCTCCATCTCATGAAATGTTTCCTACTATCCATTTACTTTCCTAGACTATTATTTGAAGATTTCATGTCTATATATCATAAAATTAATTAGACACCATTTGCTTTCCCTCAGATTTTTTTTAAAATTTTTTATTGTTGGTTGTTCAAAACCTTACATAGTTCTTGATATATCATATTTCACACTTTTGATTCAAGTGGGTTATGAGCTCCCATTTTTACCCCATATACAGATTGCAGAATCACATCGGTTACACATCCATTGATTTACATATTGCCATACTAGTGTCTGTTGTGTTCTGCTGCCTTTCCTATCCTCTACTATCCCCCCTCCCCTCCCCTCCCCTCCCCTCTTCTCTCTCTGCCCCCTCTACTGTCATTCATTTGTCCCCCTTGTATTATTTTTCCCTTTCCCTTCACTTCCTCTTGTATGTACTTTTGTATAACCCTGAGGGTCTCCTTCCATTTCCATGCAATTAATGTCTCTTGAAATAGGTGAATTTATTTTAGTAATTTTAGATGTAAAATACTTCCCCCCATAAATAAAAAAAAATGCACACTGTAATCCAAGTGCTGTCTTAGAAATCAGTATATTTAAACTGAATTTCTTGAAGGCATTATCTGGCCTTTTCTATCTTACTCTTTTCTGTACTTGCAGAGAGGTTGAGAAAATTATTGATGGCTCAGTGTATCTGTTAGAGAATGAGAAATTAATTTGTTTTTATTTATCTTATTGATAGTTTTTATCCTTTTGATAATTTTATGTTATTAATAACTTTTAAGTCTATAGGAATTTCTTTATTTTCTTAAATGGTAAATGTTTCAACCCATGGCCTCAAAAATAATACTGCAAAGGAAATTTAGGCAGCTTTGAGGCACCACTCACAAATACTACAAAATGTGAAAATCAGTCTAAGTTTATCCTAGAAATATTTAAATGTATATATTATGTGAATTGTATATATTATATAAAATGTATATATTATATAAATTCATGGTATAATATTACTTACAATCAACAAGACAGGTGTAATTACAAACCAGCAAGCTCTCCACCATAGCCAGAATATCCACCTCTTTGCTCCAATCATCATTTCTATATCTTCAATGAATCTGTTTCCTCCTACAAAAAAAAAAAAATGTCAAAGAGTACATTGAGCCCTTACTCAGTGGTTCCTCAATCATTTTTGTCCAACATATTTTTCTACATCTAAACATTTTCCTAACCACAACAATGTAAATAATTTTATTTATAATATATTATACTTTACTATTACAATAGTCATTTAAACTATTTTACTAAAACTTTTAAATAATTTTAAAGTCATTATTTACCATAAATCCAGATGATTCCTATTATTTCCAATATAGCTGCAATCAAAATGCCCCATCCGGCACAGAAGTGATCAATCAGATTAACCCAATAAATTCCAGCCTACCAAAAAAAAAAAAAAAAAAAGCCAGTTACTTCTAATTATTTTTGTGTTTGATGAAGTGCTCAAATTGAATCTATTAATTTTTTCTTATTTATTTATTTATTGTCTCTTTTTAGTTATAATATATATAATTCTAGTTAGGACCCTATTCTTGTGGATGTACATGATGGTGGGATTCACTGTGTTTTTTTTCATATATGTTCATAGGAAAATTTGACCTTAACATATGCTCCTTAGCTTCACTTCTGCTAAAATATGGAAAAGAATGTTTCAAATACAAACAAAAATGTGGTTTTAACTATCTCAAAAACATTTTTTCTATACTGAGTTATTGGGAAAAAATAAGCATTTAGAAGAGCTGATTGTCAAGATGGTATGTAATATCTGTAGGCTCTATAGTAGCTGCCAAGAAACTTACAGTGTATGTTTAAAGTCTATAATCTTGTTATAATCTATATGAAATTGTCATTACTGGGCCTCTTCCTCTGTAAAATATTAACAAAGTTACAGTGGGAGGAAATGGTCTAAAACTTGAAAAACCTTAATCCAAGTAGAACTTAGACTTTTCACTAAACACCATCTTAAATCTTTTTTTTTCATTTAGATTCTGACATATGTCCCAATTAATACTTTTGTCTATGAAAAGAAAAAGCTGTAGTATACCTGAGTCACACAGACGAGACCAAGGAGAAACAAAACCAAGCAGCAACCCAAAGTTATAGGAATCCTCATTTTCTTCATTACTTTGGGAAATAAATCTTGAATTGTTGTTGTAATTGTTTCTTTGGTGGGAAAAAAATGACATATGTCAACTCAGTAAGGTTAATCACAGAATTCAACTTCTATTAATCACATTTACAAATATTTGTGGAGAATATACTCTGAGCCCTACTTATTTTTGTTTTTGTTTTGATTTTTTGTTTTGTTTTGTTGGTTTGTTTTTGTTTTTAATCTTAGAGTCCTTTATCTTACAACTCACCACTTGTTGATTCTGATGAAAACAAAAAGCATCTCTATTTGTTATCTGTTTTATAAGGTTTTTTTATTGGTGACAACTGTAAAGTCATTGGGGGGCTAAAGTAGTTTGAAAAAGAGTTATAGGGAAGGAAAATTCTAATGAGAATTTAATCAGGTGCATATTAGAATTAGTTGGCATTGGAGATAAAAAAGATCTTAGATTTAAGAAATAAATGTATCCATTAAATAGGGAACTGGCTAAGAGGAGAAGGATGAATAAAAGTATTAGGAAATGTATTTGAGATTTACAAGGACTTTAAAAGTCAACTAAAGGAACCTGGATTTTGTCCTATAAAGAGTAAACTATGAAAACTTTTATGTAAGAGAATGATATGATGAAAACTATTTCATAATAATTGGTTGTATATCTTAGTGAAAATTCCTTTGTGTAACATGAATAAGGATAGTCATTGCAGCAGTGAGTGTCAGGGGAAAAAATAAGGAATCCAAATGCCTAACAAAATGGCAACAGATTGTTGATTAAATTGATCTATATGTCTATGTAACAACATGGATTCAAATACATGTAAAAACCTGTCAGAGTAATATATATAATACATACACATATATACACATTAACTTGACATTTATGTGAACTATTTAAATGTATCTTATTTACGGATATATGTACAATGTATGCAAACATAGACTAAATAACACACAATCCATGGTGATGGTTGCCTCTAGGAAAAAACATGTAAATTATATTAGTAAGAAACATAGGGGAGGGGCTGGGGTTGTGGCTCAGTGGTAGAGCACTTGCCTAGCACATGCAAGGCCCTGGGTTCAATCCTCAGCACCACATAAAAATAAATAAAATAAAGGTATTGTGTCCAACTACAACTAAAAAATAAATATTAAAAAAAAGAAACATAAGGAACATAAAATTCACCTGTAATCATTTGTCTTCTAAAAATTATCTGAGGAAAATATGACATAATATTGTTTGTTCCTTTTGAGTGTCAAATAGATGTGTAATTTATATTTTTCCATACTTAAATTTTAAGTTAAAAAAATGATTCAGAGTGGCCGTTAGAAGAATTAACAGCTAAAAGGAGGAATAAGGGTAAGAAAAAGGATGTTTTCAAGTAGTGGAAACATGAATAAAATATGAGGGTAATGTTAACACTGGAGGTATTATTACTTACCAATGGAAGCAAACTGAGAATCGAGACCCAAAGTTAAAAGCATGAAGAAAAATAATATGGACCAAAATGGACCACCTGGGAGTTGGGCTAGAGCTTCTGGATAGGCAATGAACGCTAGATCAAAACCTAAGAAAAATGTATGGTGTTTTAAATTAGTTGTCAAGAAAATTCACATATTTGGACACTACAAAATTCTCATCTTGATTTGGCAATGCAATCCTTGACATAATTTCTTTACCGACTATCTCACATTCACTTTTTAAAGTGTTTAACTTGGTTGTTGTGCAATATTACATTGTGAACATGGGACATGAATTAAGCTAGTGCCTATTTCTCCCATAAGAAATTTAACTATTTTAATGGTTTTGTTCAACTGATTTCCTTTTAAGATTGATGAAGAGTAACAATTGTCTGTATTGTAGAAACATAGATTATGTCACTTTATCTCAGCTTAAAATTCTAAAAGAATTACACTATCTAGAAAGATATACGAATGGAACTTTTTTAGTCTTTTTCCAAATGTTTACCCAGAATCATTATGAGCAATGCTGTTTTAATCAGTTTATGGACACCTGCAAAACTGTATGTGAAACTATAGATTGAATCTTGTTTTCTATTTGCTGCTACATTTAAAGATGCTATTCATTTTGTTCCATTTTTATTATGTGATTGTCAGTTTTAACTATTTTAAGTTTCTCTCACTTTCCAAAGGACTGACTTAGAATTTAAAAAATTAGCTTCTAGTCTAGGATCTTTCATGTTCCAAATATTTGACCATCTTCAAGATGTAGATGACATTCCTGTGTATTAATCCCTTATGAGGAGCTAGATACAAGAAGATCTCCAGGGGCTTTCTCTAGTCCTGAAATTTTGTTATCATTTATCAGTATTTCCATCAAATTATACTAACTATAATAAAATTTTAATAAGGTGGTCTTAAAATTATTCTTTCTAAGAATCTCTAGCCAAATAATTGAACATTTTAAAGTTAAGAAGTTCATTAGGCAGATTCCTTTAAAGCTCACACAGCTGTATATTCAGAATAACTGGAATTTCTATATGATATTGATGTGTTTAGAAATTCAGATCTGATGTGTAATTTGCATAGGGGAATTTGAAATATGTTTTCTCTCTCAAAATACATGGAACGTGCTTACTATAATGCCTGAAACTTGTAATTGTGCAGGAAGTGGTTCATACTAAACAAAATCCAGAAAAGCAATGTGTCTTCTTAAACAATGTTTCTCGTTTACATAAATCATCTAAGAATTATTATATCATTTAAACAAATTGCATTATATGAAATGATAAAGAAAATACAAGATCCTAAATCATTAATATAAATTGCTATCAACCATATTAGACTTTAAGTGAGCTACATTAATCAAATTTTATAACATATAGCATTACATACCTGATTTTACAACTTGAGAGACTTCCTGTCCAGATATATGAGCCATGTGTCCCAATATAGAAAAAATAGCAAATCCAGCAAACACACTAGTGAGGCAATTTGTCAAACAAACTACAATGGCATCAGAAAAGCAGTTGTTATTGAACTTATTGTAAGATGACAGAGCAACTAAGCCACCCCAAGCCACTGAAAGGGAGTAAAATATCTGGGTGGCAGCATCTTTCCAAACCTGCAAGAGAAAATTAAATTTTATAAACATGTGCTCTTAATTTTTCATTTGTATAAAATATTTCATATATATATAAATACATATTATAAAACAATGAAATGAATACCAAGTACCCACTACCCAGCTTAATAAAATGTTATTAGTCTCTTAAAGCCTTCTTGTGTCTCTCCCTAACTGTATCCCCCTTCCTGCAGTGCTGACTGGAGTTTATCATTTCCTGTTCTTTGTGTTTAACTTTGCTTGGTTTTAAACTCATAAAAAATCATATTAATGGATGTAAACTTTACAATTTACTCTTTCATTCAGTAATATTAACTTTTTCCAATATCAAGTTGAGGCATATAAAATTTCAAAATTTTGAAATTCAATAATGAAAGAATACAGGCAAATTCATGTGGCTCAATTAAATACATGTGGCTTTAATCATTTTTTCACTTCTCTACTGCCCCAGTGTATATATCACAATTTATCCTTTTTTCTGTTGGTGGACATTAGGTTGCTCAATATTTTGTTATTATATAGCTATGAACATTCTTGTACCTGCATCCTTATAATCTAGGTTGGGAAGTATGATGTCAAAAAGTACATGTATTCTTTCTTTTACTAACTCTGAAAATTGCTTTCCAGAATGACTGAATCACTTTGTACTTCTACAGCTCATTTGAGAGTTCACATTCCTCTACATCCTTGCTAGCATTTGGTCAAAATTTTTAATTCAATCCAATCTAGTGGCTGTGAAATAAGAGTTCTGATTATTCTTGTTACATACAAGGGTTAGTGTGGTTTTAAATATTTATTTTCCATATGAATTTTTTTCCTATAAAACTTCTGTTCAGTCTTTCTTTTTTACTTGGGTTATATGCCTTATTGGATTTCTAGGAATTCTTTATGTAATTTGATTCTAATCCTTCGTCTATCATATACATTGAATTTTTCTCTCAACTTGTAGCTTTTTTTCACCTCATTGTGTTTTTTGATGAACCAGAGTCTTTGTTGTTGATTTAACATAGCTGAAGGTATCCATCTTTGCTTGTATGTGTGGGCCATGATGCCTATTATTTAACAAAATACTGCCCAAGGTTATAAAGATACTACTTATATCTCATTCTGAAAGAAAAAGTTTTGCTTATCTATTAAAATTTCAGTTCACCCTCATTTTTATTATGCATATTAACACATGGTATTCCTAGTATCCTAAGTGGGATATCAACAGTACAAGTATAATAGATATTATCAATCACATATATTCAATATGAATTGTGTATCGGTGTTATCAATTGGATAATCATTCTTTCCCCATTGATCTGCATTGCCAACTCTACCATATATCAAGTTCCATTTAATTATGAATCTAATTCTGAGATTAATATTCTATTCCAGTGGTCTATGTCAATACCTATGTACCACTCTATTTTAATAAATACAATGTTATAATATTGTTTCACATCCAATAGGACAATTCCTCTTCACTTTTTCTGTGTTGAGAATTTGATTGGAATTCTATCAACACTACATATCAATTACAGTCACATTCTATTGACTCTACATATAGAGTAATAATAAAAACACATTCTTAGCATGGCTAGTACTTGCTGACCCCTCATATTTCATTAATCCTACCCCATTTTCATTCCTCTTTTCACAATTTACCCTTTCTATGTTTTTGTTAAAGGTCATTAATCAATTTTAGAAAATGATTTAGGTTAATCCATTTTAAGATTGAAATGCTTTGATATAGCATTACCCCAAAAGGAAAAAAAAAATAGTTATGCTGATTTCAAATAATAGAGCTGGTATATATTGAGGCAAAAGTGTTTTTTTCATTCTTTAGAAATCAGATTGATCAGTATAACATGGTGACTAAGTGTTCTGTCTCTGGAGTCAGAAAAATGTTTACATCTAATACTTCTCACTCCCTTTGACCTCACTTTATTTAACCTCTTTAAGTATGTTTCTTCATCTGTAAGATAGATTTTAATAATAACAATAATAATAGTAATAATAATATCATCCAAGTAATGACATGAGAAAGAAATGAGATAATACATGCAAAGCAACTAATAAGATGCTCAATGATAGCTGCTATTGTTATTGTGAGAAATAAAATAAGTTGATGTTCAGTTTCTTATATAGAAGTTAAAAGTAATAATTTTCCCCTTCAATATTATTTCAACAGAAGGAAAGTTGTTAGAGAGTAAAACATTACTAGGTCTTCAGAATACAATTTAATGTTCGATTGTAGGAAGTCAGCATGAAGCAAGATGGATGGATAGATATATGATAAGACATAGAAAAACAGCTAGAAGTACATGCATAGATCAAGGTTATTTGACTTACATATAACAAAATCCTGTTAGAAGCAAAATGCCCTTTTATTTATTAGGTTGTTTTCCAACTTAAGAGATAAATAGCATGACTCTGAGCCTCTTTCACTTGATATATTATGTATGCATATGGGAGCTGGAGGTGGCTATAACAGTTCTGGGATATGTAAGAATGCTACTCTATACCATCATGTTTTCTTCGATTACAAACAAATATGGACAGAAATTCCAAACATAGTTATAACCCCCTTATCAATCAATCTCATACATACACAAGATTATTAGGGATTATGAAATCTTAATTCAATTTGCACTAACTGTGTACACTTGACTCAATTTGAATCTTTCTGGGTCTTAATTTCATCACCATAAAATGAGGGAGTTAGTAAAATATTCTCTGAAGACCCTTCTAATTATTAATTTGTACAGTTATCTATTTTCCTGGAAATTTCAGTAGAGTTCATATATTCCAAGAAAAGTTTAAAGTATATACTTATTATCTCGTGTTTAGAATATGAATTGTGAGGAATAAAAAACATCTAAGAAAAACAATTCTCATTGCAAGCAAACCCAAAAGAAGAGTGGGGTTGTGTTGTATTGGGGAGTAGATGGAGTAGAGGAATAAATTGTATCTTTCACAAGGAGTTTTATGTATAGGTCTGATTTTTTTAATAAAGACATTGAAGCACAGAACAATATAAAATAGTCATGTATGTTTTTCAGGAGAGTTTCAAGGAAGTACAAAGACAAGATGTCTGAAGCTTGTTAAAGCCACTTAAAGAATATCAAAGAAGCTTTTCCACTTTGCTCAAAGTAATGAAGTTTAAGAAAATGGGGGGTCTATTTCTTAGGGAAAATGTTGCAACTATAATATCATAACATCAATAGTTGAAATAATTGGATATTAGTTCTTAGTTATATGAGTTTACCATTTCTAAAATGCATTAACTTGTTTTATCTTGTTTAATAACCTAACAGAGAGAAGGTGATGAATCCCAACTACCGTTTTATTTATTTCTCATTCACCACCGAAAATGGTCTTTGAGTTGGGAAGAGATTAACAAACAAGGTTAAAAAGAGTGAGGTCCAAGATAAATGAAGAAATGCATTAAGATGGCCTGTGGACACATCAGAATACATTAACCTCCAAGACTAAAAATAATAAAATGTCATAGTTCCAACATAATTTAGAGCTATTGTGGTTCATCATTGAGTGAAAATTATTGGGCACAATAAAAGAACCAAAGACCAGAAATTGGCATTTCATATTTCAAAAAGGTAAATGACAGGTTTCAATGACTAAAAGCTAATGACTTGACATTACTTACCAGAAATATCCCACAACAATTAATTAAATATCTGATTCCATTTTAAAAATGGCTGGAAATTAGCATGAGTTCCACAAAGAATACCATAGTAATCTAAAAGTAATATCCATTTTGGTCAGTACTCATGTGGCAGATATTAACATATTGTTTCTTGACTTTAACATAAGATTGTGAATTTTTAGCTGACCAGAAGCTTAATATGTGCCAAGTATGTGATGCAACTACTAAAAGAGTGAAAGCCTTCTTAGGCTGTATCAACTGAATAGATGTATTATTGTCAACATTCTCTGTAGTTAAAATTGTGAAAGATTTTTATGTACCCACGACACACAGCCATTATCTGGAGATAGACTAAGTTTAAAGGGGATTACCCAGTTCATATTCTTGGCACATGTTTACATTTTTGGAATAAATTTTAGTTAGAGAATGCTTAATCCATGTCAAATTAAAACACATTAATCCATATGTTTTAATTTTTAATCCATTAGGCAAAATTTGATCTTGCTTTTGGAATATTAACTTATGAATACAATTAAAAAGAAAAATTAAAAATGCACACTAGACCATTAAACTTTCAACAATGATCTTTAAAGCTACTATGAATTTACCCAATAAATCACATAGTACTAATCATCATTTGCAGGTATTTATGCTTAAAATATTGTTTTTCACATTAATAAACACCAAACCCTGTTGGTCAAGCAAAATCATTTACATGAATAAAACGATTGTTTAAATTCTATTGTTAAAAATTATGTTCTTAAATCCAATAAGATAATTAAGATCATGTTACATAAGTTAATCAGAAACTCTAGTAGACAGAAACTCAAATATATTTAACTAAATATTCTTTTACAAAGCACAATGACACTCATGCAACCAAAGAGTTTTGGTATATGATTTTAAGATTTACCTCCTCAGATAACATTAAATTCAAATTAAGTCTTACCTCTGCTTCACTGAGTTTTGTAAAATTTGATTGTGCTCCAATATAGTATGAAATGCCTTTTGATGCACCCTCTAGAGTTGCACCTCGTATTAACAGAATGAGTAAGACCACATAGGGAAAAAGAGCTGTAAAATATACCACCTACCAAAAAGATAACAAAAGCCAATGTTATATTTAAAGCACAGTATTTAACTGTATATAGGTAAAATTATTAGATGGATGAGATTAGTAAAATAAAGTACTGGAGATTTTATAAAGTTATTAATAAAGGTACTGATAATACCTGTACCAAAGTTGGCATAATTTCCTATTTCTATTCTCACTTTCAAATCATCCATTTCAAAAAAACCCTTTGATGTTGAAGCAGTATTTCCTAAGCTCATGTTGTAAATAAACAGTACATTAGCAGTGATAACTTGTGATCTATTTGGAATGTTTTCCTAAATATATATGTATAAATGTCTAAGAGGACTGAATGTCTCCTTTCAAGAAAATTATTGAGGTGAGAAGGGAAATGATTTAAAAAATCTACAATAATTAGTACATATTCAGCTCCTAATAAGAAGGAAAATATCTTATAGATATCCAAATCTCTTAAATAATGTATTAAAGTGAACACTGAACACTTGTTACTTAAAGCTACCATTCAGAGTGTTTGATAGCATACAAATACACTGCTTCTGTCCTAAATAATATATGGTTCCAGATGAAAAGATTTTGCCTTTAAGGCTGGCTTTTCATTAATGTGGATTATTTATTTGATCCATAGTTGTCCCATGTTTGATAATATGCCCAAAGAGATTATTTAAATAAGTCATCCAGAGACCAATAAAAATTAATTGCCAGGATGAATGGCCTGTAATGGACTCTTCCAATATTAACATCAAAAAGGAAGCAAGGGCTTAAAAACTGTGCCTTTAGAACATGTCAGAAAGTTTCCACTGTGTTTGTGATGTTCACAGTATTTTTTGTGATGTAACTGCATGTCTCATTATGACTTAACATTAGTTGAATTTGCTGGATAATGTACTAGGAATACAAAGATAGTGTCCACAGTTATCTTGTCCTCTACCTTTAAGAAAATTTCAATCTAATAATTAAAGAACATTCCCTTTTCTGGGTACCATGTAACTGTTCACAGAGAAAATTTCAGTGTTCTTTTAAATTGCCATTGTGCTCTCAGAAAGTCTTTTAAAAAATAAAACAATGAAGAGGGAAAATGTAACAATATTTTTCAGAAGAGGTCTTTCACTGAGATTCTGAGTCAATATTGGAAAACTTTCATTTAGAAAAATAATTTCATGGTATTTTTTCTATTTCTTTCCAACAAGGAAGTCTTAGTACTATTTACTCCACATGGATCTAGACTTGTCAAACCAAAAATTACGACACTATATAATTCCACTCAAGATGCTTATTTATATAGTAGGTCAGAAAACAGAAAAAAATACTCTCAAGCTTCACAATTCTGTAGCAGCACAATTTTAGTATTAGTTTTTGTTCATTTTAACAATAGCAATGATCCTATGTATTTACTTAAAACTAAAATCCCTATTTAGAAAACTTTCGCATGCTCATATGTCTCCATTGTAGAAAATATGCATCTGATAATTGCTTGAGTTTGAACTTCAATGAAATTGGAAAGCAGCTACCATCACTAATTAATGTATTTTCCAAATTACCTTGCCAGAAGACTTGATTCCTTTAAATAATGCTGCTCCAACTATGATCCAAGCTAGAAGAAGGCAAAGTGCTAAATACCACACAATTTCTCCAGTTTCATCCAATCCATTGGACCGTTGAAGTGCCACTTTACTGAAACACATAAGCCCTTTTATGAACACAGAATCATTTGTCTTTAAAAATACTGAATTTTTTGAAATAGTTTATCTAAAGGAAGCTTCATGTGTATTGTAGATTATTAATACATCCATGTCCTGTGAGCCTTTTGTTGACAGATTCTATTGTATAATTATTCATTAAAATGCCAGGATCTGAACTTCAGGGTTAACTACACCCAATTTAAATTTCCAAAACCTAGAATAAGAAAGCTACTGATTCCTTTCCCCCAATGATTCCCCCTACTAATTCAAATTTCTTTATGTAAAGAAATTAACCTTATATGCCTTCATTTGACTCAATACAATATTTTTTCAAATTAAAATGATGAAGAAAATAGCTAAAATTGTATCGAATATTTCCTTATTCCATACTTGTAGATATTATTGAACTCAAATGGCTGCTTTATTCATGTTTTTCAAAAACATTTGGCAAAATTCTATGATTTTCCACAGCAACATGTATGGATCTAGAATTTTAATTCTTAGCTGGCTGATTGAGAGCATTCAACATCAAAATTTTAAAAATTCATATTTTATAAAACAGTCTATAGGTTCCTCAAAAAATAAAATAAACAATAAAAATATCATCTAGTTCAG